GATCTCAAATTAATCTAATTAAAAAAATCCCAGTCAATATCCCAGCTGCTTTTTTTCCCCAAAAATTGACAAGCTGATTTAAAATTCATTAGGAAATAAAAACAACTGAAAAAGAAAGGATAGATAGCATCATAACCACCTGGGGTATTTGTTTTAAAAATGCAAATTCCTGGGCCCCACCCCAACTTACAGAATGAAAATTCCTAGAGTGATATTTACATATTTTTAAATTCCTTTTTCATACACAATCAATAAACAGAGAAGTTATCGAACTTTTAAGATTTCAGTAGCATTAACTAGAAAGTAGCCTTAATGAGAAAGACAACAAAACAAACAAATACAGGACATAAGTAATACATAAGTGGAATGTCATAGTCCATCAGTACACCCTATGGAATGAGGTGGCCCTCAAACATACTTCTAGAAAACCAAAAAACTCAGCTTGATCAATGGAGTACTAAATATTGGTTAACAAAACACTGGAAATATCTGCCAAATGGTGAAAACTTATGTTGAGCTGTTTGTTCCACTAGTGGTTGGTTAGTCACAGAACCAATGATCTCTTGAGCTCAAGATAATGAAGAAAAATGATCAATATAACAGAAGATGCTTACTTTCCTGTTAGCTGTGTACTATGTTCAGCTCAACTATGGCAAGGCGTGTCATCCATTCCTCTAACTGACAGGCAAAAAAGCCCAGACAAAGTAGGTAGGTTAATGTGACAGAGTCAGGATGAGAATCAAGTATTTTATCCTGCTTGCCATTCTAAGTATTATAAGAACTTTTAGCTAGACAATTTAGATGGCTTAGGTCTTTTAAAACCAGCTCTTCATGAATATTTGAACAGATGCCAAAGTTTTTCCTTTAAAAAATGTCCCCACCCCAAGAACATTCTCTTTAAAAAAGAGAAATTATAATTCTCCAGTATTTATAGACATGCCTGAGAAAATAAAAATTTATAGAGAACAAGTTTCTTGAATTTTTTCTTTTGGCTTATATCCTTAGAACAAAATCTGGAGGAATAGATGAGTCTAGTTTGATTGTAAAGTTACCAATATTGTTGGTTTTGATAATACTATACAGTTTTTGTTTTTTCTATCTCCCATTGTAGTCTTACTGAAGATCTCTTCCTTTCTGTGCCAAATTCCTTCCTCAAATATGCTTGTGACTTTGTTTAGGTATATTGATGACATTTTTTATTTTTTGGATATGAGCTATCCTTAAATGTCCACTCACACAAGGCTAAGAAATTGTTTCACTCTCAGGCTTAGATATTTAGAAATGCTTAATTTCACTTCTATCTCCAGCTTTTAGTACAGGGCTTAAGACATTTTCTAAAAGTTTTGGTTGAATAAATGATTTCCCCTTACCTCTGAAAAAAATTTTTTTCCTGAGCCAGTTTACCACATATATGTGGTAATATAATCAGTAAATGCAAATAGATAATAAAATTTAGAATGTACTCACATGGATATAGACTGAGAAAAAACATTTTCAATGGTTAATTACTTTTGTATTTCCTAGAGTTTACCAAAAATTCATTAATGATATAGGGGCATTAATTAGACTTGCATACATGTATATAAATATAAATATCTAAATATGAATATATTTATAACTCAACTTTGAAAAATATTATATTTAAATATTTAATGAACCTTTCTGAATTTACTTTTTGCTCTTCATTTTCTACTTGTATTTTCAGAAGACATCCTCTAATGTGACTACTAGACCACAAATAACATAATTCTGTATCACGCAATGATATCTAATTACTGTAATGAAAAGAACAACTATAATGGATTTGCTTCATTGCAGTCACTGTGTTAATATTAAATTCTAGCAATGCTATAAATACTTAAACTCTGAAGTCAGAATTTTTTTTGGCCTTGATAAAATCTGCATTACTGTTAAAAGGCATAAAATGTTGGTCGTGTATTATGGCATAAAATTATTTCCAATAATGTTGTACAAGCTCATACGCTGTTTTTAAACAATTCAGCATTGTGTTCATCAACTGCCAGAACAAAATGTTACTGGGAGTACTCAGACATATTTCCTCTCAATAAAGATTGTTCATTTTATTCTAAAAAATGAAAGCAAATTCAAGATCTTATGTTGTAATAATTAGTGACACGATAAGTTTCCTATAAGTAATTTCAGTCGATACTTTGTGCCATCTTAGAGACTGTATGTTCCCTGGAGACAGTAGCCTGGCTCCCTTTAGTTTATAGTTTCAGAAGTCTTAAATAGTTACTGAAGCTGAGTATGGTGCCTTGATGACTCAGATTGCTAGGAATACACCATCTTTCCCTTTCCTCTGCAAGATAATGTACTCTTTCCCTAAAGAAAATGATGGAGAAGGTAATAATAAAAATTGAGAACTTAAAGTTAAAATCTCCAAACCCTTGCCCACCAGGCTAGGCGTGTTAGACTTTTGGCCTCAGGCAAACAGCAATGAGCTCGCGTGTTCTCCTCTATACAGTATGAAGAAAGAGAAACATAGTAGAACCTACATTTGGCTTTTGGAAGAAAGGAAACTCTATGTCTATATTTTCCAAGGAAACCTTGGGAAAATTTTCTCTGTGAACTAATGATGAAATTATCCCATGCCAAATAAGTCTTCCTTAATAAACCAGCATAATTATCAAAAATTAGACAAGTAATGAAGATAGATTTGAAATGACTAGTTTAGACTCAAATCCAATAAGATGCCAAACTTGGGATCGTTCCCTCTTTGGTTTAATATCTGTTATATAGGAACTTTCACAGATCACAGATATAGTTAAATATACCAATCTGAGACAAAAAGTGAAGTGCCATAGACTAAACCACTGAATTGTATACCAAAGGGGTAAATATGTGCCCCAATTATCTTTCTCATTAATTATGAGTACATACACTCTGAGATTGCGTTTAAATATAATAATGCAAAGTTTGGCTTATAACAGGGTGTGTTTATCAAGCCAACCATGTGCTAACACAAAACCAAAGTCTGGATTGACAGCTAGAAAACCAAATTCCTCCAAAATGGACATGATTTGCAATTCTTGGTCTCTGAGAAATGTAATTAGAGAAACCTCATCTCCTCAGGCAGAAAGATGAAGTCTACTGTGTACTAGTGCTGACTGGCTTTCAGTACAGCACTATGGAGATAACTTCAGACTCACCTGGTGCCTGTGTTATGAAGATGAAAACATATTTTTGTACCTTGCTGCTTATGTTTTCCCCCTTTCTTTCCTGTCCAAAGTTCCTTCTCTGGCAGTTTCTCTAGCTGCTTGAATTTTTAGAGGGACCTAACCCGACATGTTTGCCTTCTAATAAACCCTGGGGCATCTATCCTTTCTTTCAGAGTTATCAAAGAGCACTGCCCCTGATTCTCAATCAAACCCCATACTCAAAACTGGGCTAGACCCACCAGAAACTATGGAGAGGCAAGGGAGCCAGAGACCACATAAAGTTTACTTTCTGCTAGCAAATTTCCCACTCATTTTTAAAGTTCGTTTTCCAGTGTATGATATTTTTTTGTGAAATTTGCTAAATTTTTTCAGGCCCTTCAGAATCTCACTTAAAAAATTTTGACTCTACAAATGGAGAACATATGCAGCAATTAATGCAAAAGGATGAAGGGAAATTTACATTTGATTCAGCTGGTCATAAAGAGCATCAAATAAATCAGGCTCTCAGAGCCAGTGGATACAAATTGAAGGCTGTTTCATAAGTCAATCTATTTGATGATAATTTGTCAATATATGAATTAACTGTATTAGCAGCTAAATAGATAAAACACACGAAAATAAACCAAATGTAAATGGCAAAATAGTTCTTAGAACTAGGAAAAAGGACTATATTACTAACGGGAAATGTCTACAAAAATAAGCAAACTTTACCTGTCATCATCTTGTGAAAATCGCCTTTGCAAATCCTCTTTATTCCACTGTTCTTTTTCTTTCCCTTGCTCAGGTATATCTTGTGCTTTTTCCTCGTCTCCTGATTCTCTGTTTTGCTCCTTATTACTTGTTTCTGTGATCTCTGTCCCTCTCTCATTCTCATTAAGTCTTTCTTGCTTTACCTCCTCCTCCTCACGAACTATCTCTTCGCGCTTCTCCCCGTCTTGCCCTCCCTCTGCTACTCTCTTTGGCCTTTTGAAAGCAACACAAATCGAAGGCATGCAAATAAACACAAACAAGAAAGAAAAAGTCAAGGAAAAAAAATGCATATGAAATTCAACAGAAATGTAATGAAAACTACTAAAACAGAAATAAAAATTACATCTTTTAAACACTGAATACTTTTATTTCCAGTGTTCACCAGAAGCAGCACTGTGTAAGCAACACTTAGTCATAATTATTTTTATAGTATATTTTCCTGTCACGAAGTTGCATGCAAAAAGGTGGTGGTCTCCATTACAGATTGTATAAATTAGCTTAGGTGCCCATCAAATCTAGAGGTCAGGTGATAAGTGAAAATTGTACTACCGTAAGTTACATTTATAAATTTTCTTGAGAAGCTGAGGAACTTTCCCATGCCCTCATAAAGGTGTCAGGAAAATGGGAGACCATCCTACTAAAAAGGTAATATCCTTTATGTATTCTGAATCACTGAAGTGTATCCAGCTAGGTAAAAACCCCTCCAAAATATTATTTTTCATATTCCTAGGAACATTAAAAAATTCAAATCCTCACCTACCCATCACTTTCATTTCAGTAAAGATAGAATAATAACAGAATTACTTTTTAAATAGCAAACATGAAAAAAATGACTGATGTAGCACATCAAGTAGTCTAGTAAGAAAAATGTTATGTGTTCTATAAAACCTCTCTGTGCCAGTAGTTTGAATATAGACCAAAATATAATAGAAAGCGGTATGTTCAGAAGTTCTTATTGTCGTCACGACACATATTAACCTTTCTGAAGTAAAGGACTTTATGTTTACCCAAAGAAAATCAAAGACCTACAATATGTTTAGAAGAATGTCCTGCTAAAATCCCCTTACTCACCTGATTTTCTTGTTTCCTCTTGGCCGTTCTGATTGGACGGACATGTAGCTTGTGCTACTGAAACGAGAAGCGCTACTAGTCCTGGAAACCGCGGATATATCACTTACATCACTGTCCGAAGATTTAGTGGAAATATTATCTGCCCCTCTATGAGGATCCCATCCTGATCGGTACTGTTAACACAGATTGACAAACACGCAGAGGTTGTCAGTATTATTGCACAAAGCAATTATTAGCTTCTCCTACTTCAGCACTTTAATTGTCCACAGAGGATAGTGCAAAACCCCACTCAGTGGCATAGAAAACAAAAGCGAATGGCAATTATCCTAAAAGAAAAATTCAATTTATATGAAACCCTTGTTTTTAGCAAAGGCAATTAGAGCATTTGCACCACCCCCCAATGAAGGCCATTAAAACAGTTTCACAATAGCAATGGCCCCAGGGAAGAACATTTAGGTAAAATCTGGGAAATAAACATAATATAAGGAAGTAGAATTGTTTTACTCTGTACAAAATTTGAAAAAAAAAGTGTGATAAAGTTGTCATTGTGACTTATTAAGACCAATTTTAGTAGCCATCAATGTTCTCTGAAATCCATTATGCTCCACTGAAAACCTAGAGATAACGTAAAATCTAATTATTAAAACACTAACTTTTGAACAGAAAGTCAAGAAAAAAGAGAGTTTAATTTTTGAATGGTTGCTGGAATTTTGATGAATCCTAGAAATACTAGAAAAGTCATTATTATTTACGATAGTGCAAACTTCCTGGAATTGAAATAATCGAATAGTTATCTGACCCAGCCAGCATGCAGGGTGTTATGGGTGTTCAAATATTCTGGTAAGTTGAAAACCATCATAAATGTTTTATGTTAATGACAGTTGGAATGTAAAAAAGAATAGACTTTAGAGTCTGGAAAACCTGGAGTAAGAAAAACTCTTACTAGCTGGGTAAACTTGAGCAAATTATTTGAATTTAAAAGTCTGTTTATAAAATAACAGGGAAAATATCTTCCTTTTGGGCCTTTGGAAATTAGAAATAGTACATGTCTGCTACCTAATTACATAAACAAATACAGAATTATAGCTGTATCATTACTAACTGATGGCTATTAGTGGGTTAAGAGAATATCTGCTAATAGATTTTTCTTTATTTGTATGTACTTCAAACATAATGTTAAAACATCCTTATTTGGTCAGTTTTCCAATGGAGATTTTTCTAAGCATAGATACTAGCAAATTTCACAAAGACTTAGAAAGATGATTATCTTATATAAACAATTTACTGTGATTTGAAGAATCTTTACCTAATTAACCATCCTGTAAGAATAACAATTCACTGCAAATATTAGAGTGATATAAACATTCTGGCTAAGATAAATTGAATGGCAATAGGGTATAGTATAAACATTAAATCAGATTCAAATGATCTGGGATCCCCCCTCCCAGGATCTCTCAGTGTCTAGTTATATATTTTTGAGTTAATAACTGATTCTTTTCTTCAAATGTAAAATAAAGGGATTATTTTTAAGGCTCCATAAAGTTTTAATAAATCCATAATCTAGTAATATACATTCAAATTAGGTGAGCTATTGGTCTTTATTAGTCCATTTTAACTTCCCACATTGTTGGATAAACTCTCAAGTATCAAAAAAATATATACACTTAAGTTCTGCAAAACTTGCTGCCTTGTTTTCAGGAAGTATCTATGTAAATAGAAACCACATGTTGATATTAAAGGTAATTATTTATTTACAGTGAATTTATTTGGAGAACATTTAGTCCATGATATCTTTCTCAAACTAAAGTCACTTTAAGAGAGTAAAAACAATTTACTTTAAGTGACAGTGTTTTCAGCCATTGTGTAGAATAGCATTTTAATGGGTGGGTCCAACATTAAGTTAGCCAGTACACAAAAAATGTACTAAAGGCAGATGAAAAACCCTAAGTTTTAACTCTCGGAGGTAGTGAAAAATAATAATGTACTAAGGGTACACGCTCTGGAGTGAGACTGAATTCTTGGTCTGAATCTTGGCTTCACAAATTATTACGTTTGTAACCTTAGGCCAATGCCTTATGTAAGTCCAGTTCTCTGTCTGTTAAAATATGGACAGCTGTACCCACATCCTAGGTTTGCTGCAACGATTAAACAAGATAATGTATATAAAAAACACTTGGCACAGTATTGACTATAGCAAGTGTTTAATAAATGACAGATGATGATGATGATGATGTTGATGATGATGATGTTGATGATGATTAGATAGTAGTTGAATACTGTTTTAGTATCTATTCCAGGTACATCTTCACTGAAAAAAATTTGAGTAGAACCAAAAATCAATATATTATTTTAAGACTCCTCTAAGCTACAGTAGGAATATAATCATTTCTACATACGTTCAAGAGGTTCATTTCAGAAAATATGTTGATAAAGAGAAATTAAAATATCAGACCAAACTTTTCCACTGACTGCGAGCATGCCCTCAAGTCTCACCTTCCGCATTTGACCAGCTTCATCCATATCCCATGACCTTATCAAGAACTATTAATTCCCAATTACAGGATCAGAAACAGCTTCACCTCAGCAGGAAATACATGACACTTCTTGGCTGATACAGAAGATGCCACATTTTTAATATTTGAGTCTAGTACTTTATTTTGATAATCAAAGCCAACTGGTTCCTGTGTATCCCATGTCTCCCCGATCGGTTCTTGTCTGATTGCTATGATTTCTTTTCCGAATCCTACATTTTACTTGACTTTTGTATTTCACTAGTTAGGATTCTAACTTTGCATACTCTAACCTTTGTCTTTTTAAGTTGTCATGACTTTTGCCTCTGTTGCTATGATTCATAGGTGCATAGAGACTAGCCTAAGGCTAAAGAATTTTTTTTTAAAACATTGCTCATATCTTTGGTTAAGACCTCTTAGATAAACTAGTTTGCTCAGCTAAAATTTTGGAGAGGCAAAATTTAGGGAAAGATAAGATTCTACATACTATAGTTTTATGCTTTTATAGAATTCAACATGCTACCTCATGTTAAAGGGGTGCATTTTGTGCATGTGTAAGTGTGTTCATGTCTAATTTTCATACCCTCTACTAGAATATAAGCTCCTAAAGACCAGGATAAGATCTTCCTTATTCTTGTAACTCTCTTAGCACTTAAGAGTCAAAGATTTAATGTAATTTAAACTCTGAGGCTTAGTTTTCATACGAGTAAGATGAGGATAAATCCCTTTTTAAGGATTTTTGTGAGGAGTAAGAGCCATGATATATTTAAAATACCCACTAGTGTGCTTAGCACATAGCAACTGCTCATTTCCAGCGCCTAAAGCAGAAAGTCGTTAAATAAAAAGACACTGAATGGAAAAGTTTATATAAAGAATGTAAATTAGCTAAAAGCTCTAGTTTGATGATTCTACTACCTTCTTAAGGCTTGCATTAAGTGTATTTTTCTGTCTACTTCTAAGCAAATGAATATGTTTACTTTTGGGGTATGGTTTAAGTCTCCATTACAAATTTACACATGATAAACAGAATAAGAAATATAGAAAGTGAGAAATAATAAGAAAATATTTTTATAAAGAAAACTTCAGAAGAACATATTTTGAATAAATTTAGAATATAACATCTTCATATATACATACAACTCCAAAACCCTCCAGAAATCAAAGTAATAAATGACCTAATACTAGAGTTAACTTTTAAAACAATTCACTTTTTAAAAATGTTCTAACTGTATTTTTTATTTTTCTAAAGTATGGTAAACAAACGTTTATAGTTTAACAATGAGATAGAAGCAGCTAAAGTTTTATTGTACCAAGGTAGTTATGAATGCAAATAAGTTCATTTATTTGGAAAATGGTTGGTGTTATTTTGGCCCTATATAATGAAAGATGTTTTCAACGATTAGCATGTGTTAGTTTACAGCTGACAGATGAACAATGGATGATATGCTCACCATTCTTTTTAATGGAACAAAAACAAAGAAGATTTATTGCATAGGATTATATGATCTCAGCTGAAAATTGTGCCCTGATTGGAGATCATTAAAATCTTGGAAGAGAGTAAGGAAGCTTTTCCCGACAGCATTTTGATGTTTTGTACATTACTATTAAGCACATCATGAACTAGAAAAATTTACAGGAAACTATTATTCTTCAGGATGTTCCAGACTCTAAAGAGTTCCTAAGTGGCCTAGAAAAGTTAATGTCCTCCTTATTCATCTAACATTAGTGGAAAGTAATAGCACATCATCAAAGCTCTATTAAAAGGAAAGTTACTATTAAAATTTTAGAATAATATTCTTGAGAAAAAAGTAAATTCAAATTTCTAAAATAAGATTTTCATTTTTCCAGTATACTTACTGGAAGCTCTTAGATTAGGAAATTTCCTAGGTTGATTTCTCTAACAGCATTTCAGCAACTCAGGTGGTTTGAGCTTTGTACGTGAACTTCTTGCACAAAACACAAGGGTGGGATTATGAGTTCCCTTGAGCATTACTTGTCTCTGATTTATTAAATTTCACCAGAAAACTGCAATTTGTTATCTAAAAATCTAGTCCGAGGATTGGTTATTACAAAATACCAGGCAGTAAAAAGGTCCAAGTCTGAAGAAAAGTAAGTTCTAGGTCATCAAGAAATCGTTGGAGGAATATTCATATTACATTCAGAGTAGATCATAACATTGGGGGGGAAAAGGGCAAACAATCTTAGGAACACAGGGAAGCTGAAGTTCTGGACGGGGCTCTTGACACCAGTCTCAGGGGCTCGGGGAGACAAGGACAGAGCAGGGGGACTCTTGGCACTGTGGTCAACAAAATGATCATGTTAGCAAGAAGATGCTGTCATTTTTGCTAACCAATCTTTACGGTATTTCAGATCATAATACCACAACTGCAGGGACTCTCCCTTTGAGGAGTTACTTCCAGATAATTTCCCTTTTGTCCTAGCCAAGGCTCTTATTGGTGCTTGATTTGAATGTTGTACTGTGTAAAAATTTATTAGAGATCATTTTGCTTAGATAGAACTCTTAAAGAGGGTATTGCATGATAAAAATCTTTACTTGAGAGGGAGAAGAAAGTGAGGAAAAGCTACAGAAAATTGAGGGCTAATTTAAGATTTAGACTTATAAACAATATTCTGCAAATGAAATCCCTGCTAGAAAATTCTTC